AGCCTCCACCCTGACGAGGAGAACACACCGACACGGGCCGCGTCACCACCGGCTCCTTGTCTACCCCTAACACTCAAAGAAGTAAATCGGCGTCATGTTTAAAACGATGAAGCTCCCCGGAGTGGCCCTCAGCTGGCCGCCAGCTTTCTAGAACTCGCTTTGACTGACACCCTGCCTCGCCAACATGTGTACACCACGTGTGCTAGCCATGGCGGAGTTCAGCAGCTGCCACAGCTGTGCACACAAGCCTGGGGTCGTCACTACCGAGCCCTCTAAGGTGCTGCCTCCCACCCTGGAATCAGCAGACGACGTAGTAGTTACATCGCTGGCTCCCACGTGGCTGGCCACGGTTCAAGTCCCAGACCCAGGTGCACGTGTGCGTGGTACCCAAAGTCCCAAGAGAATGGAGAAGGGACTGCGGTGTGGCCATCCCCCCGGGGGAGTGATTGCTGGGCTTCTGTCTGTATCTGTCTGGTGAGTGCACACACCCCATAGCAAAAATCCCTCAAGAAGGGAAGGGGAGGGGAGGGGAGGGGAGGGAAGAAGAGAAAGCGTGTGCACACACCTGCTCTGGAGCCCTCTCTAGCTTTTCCTGGGCTTGGCATTTAGTGGTACGTAATAAATATGTGTTGAAAGAGCTGAAGGGCCCTGAGATCTTCTGGCCAGCGGCTATTGGCCATTCTCTACTGGGAGGCTCTCTGGGGCAGGGCGGGGCAGAGTCAGTTCCCTTCAGATTTCCTGAGTCTGGGGCATGCCAAACACGACCTCCCGGAGGAGAGGCACTTGGGCTCACAGGGCTCAAGCCCACACTCAGCTGAAGACCAAGCCGCGTCCTCAGGACCCTGTTCAGGAGCTGACAGGGTGGGGGGCCGGGTAGGGCAGTGGTTTGGTCACGGCTCTGGTCACTGCTCGACGAGCGTGCCTGTCACCGCAGGGAGCAGAGGGTCCTCCAACAGGCCCGGGCAGGGCAGCCACGTGAGGACATTCCCTGCTTCTCCAGCTCCTCCCCAGCCAGGAGTGGGGTATGACAAGGCCCCCACGAATGAGTCTTCCTGCTTAAACAGCACGGGGTGGGGCAGGGTGGCTGCAGGGTGCACACCTGCATGCCGGGGGTCCCAGGGAGGAGGTGGTCTTCCAGAGCAGCCAGGGCCCTGGGATGAGTGGTGGCCCTTTGCCTTGCCGGCATGAGTGCAGGGCCCCTGCTCAGAGCCTCTCCTGCACACTCTTCCTTCTTTCTAGCCTGTCTCAGGCCCAGGAGGAAAAGCACTGCCCTTCCCTCCCAGTACCAAGGTCCTCATGTCAGGATCCACGGGTCCACAGAGGTCGCCTCTAATGACGGGCTGGGATCTTAAGGCGGGACACAGAGCCAGGCTCTAGCAGTTCCAAGTCCTGCAGGGCTTCGAGAAGCTGCTCACGGGCGGCTCCAATGAAAGAATTCTCCAGGAAGGCAGGCAGGCCCCCCACGCCATCCCGCAGAGTGTACAAGGGCACCCGCACCAGGCCCAGCACCTGCGAGAGAAAGGAGACGCTCCGGCCAGGGAGCCC